TATCTTCAAAAGTGCAAACTGGCTACTAGTACATCTAAAAAATCTTATGAAGAAATAAAAACTAAAAAATTAAGAGGTTCAAGGTAACTTTTAAAAGTGAGGGCTGTGTGGTTATGGAACAAATGCACACATATGTAAATTGACAAAACCAGTGTGAAAAATTATATGGCTTAGTCTGGTCAATATGAAATGGACATGTTCAGTGAGTGATGAATTCTTCTCCTATCAGAGACAGACATTGCCAGATCTATTGAAACATACGGACCAGTGTTATTTTTGATAGAGAAAAATGTAAACAACCCAATTAATTCACATCACAGTAAATAAATACACTGTGGCACATTCATCTGATGATACACTAGAGAACTGAAGATGAATGAGTTACAGTCTGGAACAAAAACAAGATTGATTCTCAGGAACACCATGCTACAGAAGAATTTACATAGTGCATTTAGAACCATATAAAGTTCAGAGCTGTACATAATTAACTAATATATACCTTAGGGATGCAAACTCTGTATTAAAGTAAATGTAGAAAAATAAATGTATAGTAACATTATGTTTTGAATATGGTTACTTCTAAGGGAAGGGCCAATTATTTGGTACATCCTGGAATACACAGAAATTCATATATGGTGGTTACTTTATCCTAACTAAAATGGGATATGGAAGCTGAGGTGTTTGGGTTATTTTTTTGTCCTTCTGTACATTTGCTAAAAATTATTTTGATTCCCTTCAACATTTAATTTATATTTGTAAAAGAAAAAACTAAGAAGAATTCCATTAGAGAAGCTTTGATATATGTTCTCACTTTCTGAGGATTATTTTAAAAGTTCCATGCATTGATTTAATAAAATATATGCTATCAAAAAATGCCAGTGATCTTTTATAATAGTACTTTTTGAGGAAACTCTCCTTCTATGTGCTTCTCTTAGTGGTTTTCCTTTATGGATACGTATACTGTGTCTTAATTTCTATCAAATTTGGAGAAAGAATTAATTTTTTGACTCAACCATACTTGCATATAGTATAAAAAAAGTAAACTTTTAACAAGTATAGACTCTGGTTGTTTTTTGCTATAACTGAAATAATGACTAAAATCAAGTAGTTAGACGCATTAGGAGCCAATTAGTTTTAAGGAAAGACATAATTCCTAGAATTGTCAACAGAAATTCCGAAAGAGAACTACTGATTTTCAATAGCAGTCAGTATACCCAGCACCTAGACTTGGTTTCTAATTTCTAAAAGAAATTTAAATTTAAAATTTTTCAATAAATGGTTGGTTTCCAGTGTACGGCAGAAAATTACATGTTGAGTCAGGAGCATCTTGTGAGGAAAATAAGGAAAGGCTTAAACATTGATGAGGACAGAAACAGAAGATATCAGAGCCATCCTGGAAGAGTCCCTCTAGCTAGGTTTCGGGCAGTTCAACATTAGAGGAATAATGATGGTAAAGAATATGATATCCCGAATTGAAAACTAATTTATTAGGCCATAGTCATGATCAAACGGATAAGCTGTTACACTTGGATATGGAATTTCTCTTGAAGACTTGTGTGTTGAAGCTATGATGGCCAGGTAGAGATATTTTGGGGAAGGTAGTGATGTTAACCCTTCCAATAATAAATGGACTCTAATTTCAGCCAATGAATTCTGGTAGAAGTGATGCTGTGATTCTGTGGCAGAGTTGTAAAAGGTCCATGCACTTTCACCTTCTTATGGGACACTCATGCTTGGCATTCTAACTGGCCCCCTTTGCCTCCCCAGAACCGCTAGGAAGTGAGGAAACAAAGCACAAGAGGGATTCAGGCCAGGTTGCATGTCTGCAGATCCAGAAGTAATCCTGGTCTCCCCGGTGCCTCAGCTGAGGCCTCAGGTATGTGGGCTGGAGTAGCTTCCAGTCCCCACCCAATGAGCTCACTCCAGTCTTCACAGCAGGGCTTTCAGATATCACGAGATGGAGACACGCCATCTCTCAGGTTTCTTTTCTGGATTTTCAAACTTTGGAATCTGCAAACATAATGAAATGATTACTTTAAACTTCTGTCTTTTGGAATGCTACATAGCAGTTATAGCTGGAAGCATGAGATAAGAGATAGAGTCTTTTACTCGGTGATGCTGGAATCTGGCATTAGTGTTTGCTTTATGTGGTAGATTCCAAATTTTGATTTATTTTATGGACTCTTCTGTGGTTTTCTTCTGAAATAGCTTTTACCCTGACTCATGACACAGAGATTCTCTTCATCCGCTCAGAGACGAGGAACAATACATTCATGGATGTCTGTCACAGTGCCCTTTCACTCACTGTTTCTTTCAACCAAATTTTCTTATCTTTAATCTTCTCTGAGCCTAGAGATGGGTAATGGAGTTATGCTGGCAAAATTATTTTTTTGTTCAACTCTTTGCAAATCCCACTGAGATTGTCTTGTTTTCTGCTTGTAGAATATTGAGATCCTTATCCTTAGTATCTGTTTGTTCTCAGGTTCAACTCCAAATCCCCAAAGCACAGGAAATACAATGCTCTGTGAGTATTCAGGGGTAACTCCCACTGGGTACATTTGGAAATCTATTCTTCTTTTCTATTTTTCCTAAACTTTGTTGCAATGTCTAGTGTGGACTAAATCCTAATAATTCTCTATAATCATAATTCTGGTACTTAATAAATATTTATAGCTCAAAGGAAAATTTCAATTTTTTTCTTTCTTCTTTTACTCATGTGAGTGTGGCATGTGTATGTGTGTGTGTGTGTGTTGCTGAGGATTGAATCCCAGACCTTTTCACTGAGCTATATCCACTGAGCCTTTTAAAATTTTGTGTAGTTTTTTTCTTTTTTGGTGGTACTGAGGATTGACCCCAGTGTCTGCAATCCTAGGCAAGCAGTCTACTGCTGAGGGACAGTGGTACCTTGGTTTAGGAACTTAATTATTTTTCACAGTTTTGGGGAAGATGGCTACATTTGTGTTTGTATGGGGAAGATGGTCATGTTAATCACTGAATGCAGAGTTTCCCAATTGAAGTCAAATTTTGCCAAATGTTTTTGCTTGCAAACTAAATTGTTTGCAAACAGAAGCATTCAAGAACCAGGATATTATTGTATATTCCCTGCCTGTTTTGTTTTTTTTTTAATCTTAAGACAGGTTCTCACTGAGTTGCTAAATTCCTTAGGGTGGTCTTGAACTCAAAATCCTCCTGCCTCAGCCTCCAAGAGTACTGGGATTACAGGTGTGCACCACCACACATAGTTCAAATATTCTTAAAATATCAAATGTTCATAATGTGAATGTCATGCCCTTGGTGTATTTTTTAAAGTTTATATAAACTGTGAGTTCTAGAATAATTTTATATTTATAGAAAACCTGCAAATTTACTGCAGAATTTCATATACCAGACACTCATTGGAAATTATTGTTCACATCTTATGATACTATGATCCATTTGCTGTCAGAGACCACCCTGTGTTCATTTTTATTCTCTAAGCTCCATGTGTGCTTTAGTTATCATTTTTAGTTTTCCTGCAATGTCCTTTACCTGTTCCAGGTCCCAGTTCAAAATCACACTTCACACTTCTTTGTCATCCTTCTTAGGCTCTGTTGGGTTGTAACCGTTTTTTAGTCTATCCTTCATTCTCCTGACCTGGACAGCTTTGAGAAATACTAGTCAGCTACCTTGCAGGATGTTCCTTGGGTTTGTCTGCTAATTTTCATAGTTAGACGGGGGCTGGTAAGTTGGGAGAGACTGCAGTGCATAGTATTGAGGGGACGGGCTGTCAACACAGCTCCACTGCAAGCATTAAGCTGGACCATGTGTCAGAGGCAGCCCCGATCAGACGTCCCCATCTGTAGTTGCCTTTCCGCCTCTTCCCATTTCCTCCTCTATAGGAGCCAGTCACTTAGCATAGACCACAATTTGGGGTCTTATCCACTTAGAGTTCTGCATGGAAGATGTTATTTTTACCCATTTATTAATAGTTATATCAATATAGGTTTAAGGATACTTATTTTTCACATTGGGTTATAATCCTATACTATTATTACTTATTTATTTCATGCTTACTGTTCCATATTTGGCAACTGGTAGCTATTTGGTCCGGTTCCTGTGGTCCTTTGGTGGACCCAATCTTTGTGTTTTTGAACAGTTCCTTACATTCTGGCACATCGTGGTGTGCCATGCCCAGCTTGTGTAGTCTTTGCTCCAGGCCCCAAATCAGCCTTTTATCCAGGGAGCCCTACCTAATTTCTCTCATTGGCCCCAGTGTATTTTTATATGTGATGCATGTATGATACACCAAATGCAGACATGATAAATGTAAACACATGCTTCTGCTATTGTAAAAGCCCTTATTTCCCCTTTTAGTGTGTAGGACAGAGGTAATCAGCTGTGACATTATCAGCGGAACTTCTAGCAGAATCAAGGAAAATTGCAGGATCTCCCCCTCTAAGTCTTTGCAGTTTAACCCTGGTTGTAAATTACAATCACCTGGAAAGATTTAACAACACACAGATCTCAGGGATCTGCCCTGAACCAATTAAATTTCTAGAAATCTGGATATAGATGTGGAGCTCAAGTACCAGAAATTTTTTAAAAATTCTCTGAGAAATTCTAACTTGTAATGCAATTGGGAATCATTGTATTAAGTTTTAATGCTATCACATTGATGAGAGCAAATTTCAACGCAATTTTTTTTGTTAAGAATGGACTACTTGAATAATTTTATTCTTTAGGAAGTCTCCCAAAGTTAAAAAAATATTAAAATACACATGCAGCTACAAACATTTTACTGCTCTGATAAGCCTAAATCATATAGATTCTGAAATATAGATATATTAATGTAACAAAAGTGAAATTTTGATGTTATTATTCACATCCCACAAATTGTATTTTTTTGGCAAGTCACAATATTTAACACTACCAGAAAAATTATTAATCATATATTAAACATAGCATTTATAACTGATAAAATTGTATTTAAAGAAGGAATGAAATGTGATAATGCTAACTTTATCAGGTCTTCCTGAGTTTCATCATCCAAGCACTGGAAAATTAAAAGGTTTAATTATATATTTAAGAAAACATTTGTTAAGCACTATGTTAGATATTGGCATAAAGGGAAACAAAAACCACCCTTCCATAAGGAAACTTAGTAAGTAGTAGATTCTTTGTAGTTTGAGATAAACCACTTTCCATGGTTGAAACAGCTGCATCTCCGGTAGGGAGCACCTTGGAGGCAGAGCTCCCACAGTTCAAGAAGAGCTTTGACGGGAAACGATACAACATTGAACCATTAGCCAAAGTACCAGGAGAAGTCCTGTGCTAGGGAGTGGCCTGCGGCCATCAGTAAGGAGGAGAAGGACGATGTGGAGAATCCACCCACTTAAAACCTAGGTCTTAACATGTCATTTCCGGTCACATTCCATTGGCGAGAATGTACTCATAAGGCCATACCAAATTCAAGTGAGGATCAGGGTGTGGTGGCGCACGCCTGTAACCCCAGCACTTGGGAGGCTGAGGCAGGAGGATCGTTGTGAGTTTGAGACCCGGCTGGGCTACAAAATGAGCTCAAGGCCAGCCTGAACTGCAGAGCAAGAAGCTGTCTCAAAATACAAGGGAGAAAAAGAAGAATTCTCAAGCGAGTTGAGGGAGTGTTGGCTCCTGGTGGCTGGTTTTGTGTTCTGGCAGAAAGGGTATGTGAACTGGGACACAGCTACAGGCTCCCTCTCTGAAGGAAAGGCTGAAAACTCAGCGTCCTAGAAGTTAGAGAGGGTCTCAGTGGAAGGACCACTTCAAATAGGCTGTTTGATCCCAACATCACAGCTGAAAGTCCCAGGAGAAAGCTTCCCATGATGTTAGAGGAGCTCTATGGAAGTAAATTTGTTTTGTGAGGGCAAATAAAAGCAATGGGTGAAGGAGTGGAGTGAGTACAGCTCAGTATACCATCCAAACACCGCCAAGACCCATGGTGGGAAAAGAACACCCAGAGGGAAACTCGGGTATTTTTAAGAAAAGACAAAGCAACCCGTGTTTCCAAACTATCATACATCTACACTGTGATACCTTTAAAAGAGACAGACAGCAGAGAATTATGACAGAATAGATAATCATGCAGTAAACACATACAGTGTAGTAAACTGTTTAGTAAAAGAAACAGGAAGGACGGAAGGTACTTCTGGAATGCTTGGGGGCAAGGAAACTGAGGATGTGAATTTGAATCTGAGACTTAGGGGTTCATCTTGCAAAATGGACATGAGCAAAGACAGAATCTTGAATAGAATGGATGTAGGGGCTCTATTCAGTAAAAATAATACAAGTGTATGACCCCTCAATTAATACATGAAAATGACCATTTTTAAAATGAGGGAACAATGAATTACTGGAGTTTTTAAAGTTTTAAATGTCTTTCTTTGGGGATCTCTTTAGGCAAAATTACATGAATGCTTTCAAAGAGCTATTTCCTAATTGCAGTCTGACTACCTGTCCCTTCCTCAGACATTTATAACCACCAGCACTTTTCAGCAAGAGTAGTGAGGATGCTGGTTTTGTTAACTTCAGGGTGTGAAATGTGAATTTCAAGAACTCCAAGTAATGGCTTTTCTGGGACCCCACCACTGTGGATTACAGACAGAGCTGAGGACAGACACCCAGGCAAAAAGCCAGTGGGGTAAGGTTTTGTTTAATTGTACTTTGGTGCTGGGAAGTGAACCCAGATTCTTGTGTATGGAAACCAAGCACTGATCAACTGAGCAACACCTCCAGCCAGAGAGCGAAGGACTTTGCATGCTGCATAAGAAGCTTGGATGCCTTGTAGGAAATGGAAGCTTTGAAGGATTATAGGTGAGAATGCTCCATGATTAACTTCACATTTTAGAAATCCATCTCAGGAACATGTAGAAATGGGTGGAAGTCCAGAGGAATGGCTTTAGCAAGTACTAATTGGAAATTGCTTCAAATAGCCTAAAAATAAACATTAAACATTGGGATAAAAAGAATTGAAGAAATAGTCCAGAAATTATATGGGAAATGAACTTTATAAAGAGGCGAATATTCAAAAACCAACAGAATATATAAAAACAGGTATCTGCATGAATACAAAATAAAAGTTAACATATATTTATGTTTTAAGTGTTTATTTTGTACTGACATATTAACAGTAATTCTACATTTTACAACATCAGACTTGTATTTGGTGTCTATCTTCCTATAGGCAAGAAGAACCATGAAGTAGGCTGGAGAAGGTAGGTGAACACAATTAACAGAAGGTAAGACCATAATCTTTCTGGAGGAGAGGAAGCACCCATCTAATCAGACAATGTGTTATTTGATAAGGAAAAATTATTTTTGAAAATGGGGGAAAGATATTACATAAATATAATTGCTATTCAATTTGGTACCTAATATAATATCTATGCTGTATCTTAATAAGCACGGCAGCATTTATTACAGTTTAGCAAGAGAAGATAAAAATTGGTTTTAGCAATTAACCTTATCCACATGTAAATGAGATAGATTAATTAGTAGTTTTTCCTTTCCAATCTTTTGAGGAAAGGAGATAAGTGTAATTATACTGTTTATGCAAATTTGTAACCAAATATGCAAAAGGACACAATAGTTTGCAAATTAAAGTTCAAATAAGAAAATTATTCTAAAATTTACCTTTAGAATACCGAGATAACCAATTAGAGCATGTAAATAATATATTATAAACAAATATGAATATTTTCTCAAGAAAATCAGCTTTTTATTTAAATTTATGAATGTGCTTGCCTGTCAATTTGAGTTCCTCAGTAAGGCTTAACTTGTGTTTCAAATCTCTTTTTAACTGTAAAAATAAGTTTCAGATTACTTCAAAATAAAATAATTTAAAAAGTAATATGTATATCTTCATAAAAATAGATTTAATCTGAAAGACCCTGACAATGTGAGGACAAAAGGACAAGTTAAGTCCCCACTATGTGGAGAGAGGAGAAACAAACGTGGTAGGGGAGCAGCTGGGTGTGATGGCACACCCCTGAAAACCCAGCTACTCAAGAGGCTGAGGCCAGAGGAGCTAGAGTTCAAGGCTAGCCTGGGCTACTTAGTAAGATCTTGTCTCAGAATAAAGTAAAGACCTTTACAGACCATAATGTTAAATGCAATAAATCAGACACACACATTTAAAGGACAGAAGGTTTCTCTTACAGGAGAAAACCAAAAGGTAAATAAAGAGCAAAATGAAACATAAAAATTTCATGTACATGTGCCAACTTCTCATAATGAATGTAATCATTATGTCCTGCAAACGTGTACCAATAAAAAAAAGACAGATAATAGGAAACAGGGAGCTAGATCTTTTGTGAATGGGAGGGAGATCAAGAAAAGCAGGGAGGAGGCGGCAGGGGAGGTGAAGGGGAGGAAAAGTGAATTAAGATGTGTGATGTACATGTACCAACTCCCCACAAGTAATGCAACCACTATGTACGGACATATGTATTAAGAAAAAATAAAAATTGAAAACAAAAGGGCTGGAGATGTCACTCAGCTGAAGAATGCTTACCTAGGGTGTGTAAGGCCCTGGGTTTGATCCTCAGTACTTCGATTCAGTGCTGTAATAAAATTACATCATCCATTGTTATAAAGTAGCCCACCTCTATTTTTGATTTTCTTTCTACAGCTTCAGTCACTTGCAGTCAACATGGACCAAAAATAATACATGGAAAATTCCAGAAAAAAACTCTACAGGTTTTAAACAACTTTTATTACAATATATCATCATAAGTATTCTATTTTATTATTAATCATTGTTAATCTCTTACTATCCATATTTAATAAATTCATGTTATCACAGGTAGTATATTTAAGAGAAAACAGTGTGTGTGTGTGTAGAGTTTGATATTACCTGTAATATCAGGCATCTGCTGGTGACCTGGAAAGATAACCTCCACAAATATAACGACTACTGTATCCTGATTTCAGAGTCATTATTCTTTCTAACACATTCAAGACTTATACAAGGGTGAAAATCACCTCTCCCTTGTCAGAGTTTTGAGGTTCTGTGCTCATTTTCTCTTACTGAACTGTTTTTCTCTGCTTCTTTTATTGTGAAAGAAACAAAATACATGCTTTGCAGAAAAAATGATTTGTTTTTTGAGACTTTTTGAGACTCTCAGACTAAAATTCCTGCTCACTCTTTGAGTGATGTATTTAGCATTTGTGGTTATTGGTTTATTTAATGAATATACTTCTGTCTGATATTTACCGTGTAACAGGATCTAACACAGGCTCTCTGCCAGTACGTTAGTAAACTATAGCTCCCTCTCTGAAGAAGAAGGTGTGTGTACAATAATTTACAGGGTATGAAAAATTCTGTTACAGAGGCAGAAGATGGAATGCACACAGGCAAATGCAAATAATTTTGGGGAAGAGTACAACAAAATGCTTGAAGGAAGAAAAAGCAGTAGGAGAAAATGTGCCAGGTAGGTAGAACGACTTGCACAAGTCGTAGAACGACTTGCACAGATGTATGGTGTGCCCATGAGCAGGGTTATGTGTGGGATGAAGACCCACGGGAAGATAAAATAGTTTGGATCCAACAGTCACTGTTGACAAAGTGTTTTCTAGCTACTTCTTTATAGCTCAGTGAGAGTGAACAATGCAATCCTGTCTGCTTGGAATAAGGCAGAACCCTCTCTATGTGTCTCCATGCAGATGTACTTATCTTAGTCATTTTTTCTCCCCACTGCAGCCAAAGCAGTGTCTACATAAAGTGCTATAGAGTATGTCATTTTACACTTTAATGTATTTAGTGATTCGCTGTTGTCCTTAGGATTAAAGTGAAGATGACTCACCAGATCCTTCATAATAATTATTAACCATTCCCTCAATCCACAGTCACCCACACCCAAACTACATCTTCGTGGGCTCCATTTATTGATTTATTGATTGATTGATATCATGTCCTTATAATACACTGGCTAATTAGTTAGTCACTGGTTAGAGTGATGTTTGCTTTTCAGGAGTTACTTTACTTATTCCTTTATTCAAGGTATAAAGTATCGGCAAAGTAGGAGTCTTTTTTAGGAGCACTGTCACATTTACCTTGGGAATACCCTTAGATACCTAGGCTTTGGAATGGATAAAACTCTCCTAGATGCTAAGGTTATATTTGAAAACTTACCTTTTACTAGAAAAAATACAATGACAAATCCATACTCTCAAAGTACCGCCCCCTTCCATTGAATTTATAGCATGTTAGGAAGGTATTTCATTATTTATACATATTTTGAATAGTTCTTTGATATTTGGTATACACATATTTAAAGAGGAACTGCTTTCAAAATTAGAGTGCTACATTATCATAAGGCTTAAACCTTTACATTTGTTAAGAAAAGATAATGATAGGAATATTTATCACTTAGGACAGTTTAATGGCATGTTTTATCTGTAAAGAGCCTGAAATACCAGTGTATTAGCCTGACAGCCTGGATATAATGTAAGTAATTATATGTTTATATTTTTGTTCAGTCTTGTTGGCACTATAGTATTTCTAAGTTAACTATCTGTATCAAGGCTCTATTTTTAGCCTATGCTCCTAAAAATCAATGATGTCTTAATTTAATAAATACAACTCCAAGTGAACATCATTGTATCTGCGCTCTGCCGCTATATTAACAAATCACCCCAAAATTTAGTTACTATCCTAGTTTACTAGAACTGGCATAATAAAATACCACTGACTGTATGAATAAATGACAGAAATTTATTTTCTCACAGTTTTGTACACTGGAAGTCCAATGTCAATGTTCACAAGTTCAGCAAGCCTGGAAGCCTTTCTCCTTGAAAATGGCCACTATTCAACATGTTCTCAAACTCCTGGTCCTGTGCCGTGAATACTCCAGGTATCTCTGTTCTTACAAGGCCAGCCTTCGGGTTGGATTGGCACCAGCATACAAGCCAGCCTCTTTTTAACTTGGTCACCTCCTCACAGCCTCATCTGCAAATACAGTCACTGACAGACTGGGAGTTGGGATACAAATGTGTGAATTTGGGGGCTGGGGAACACAGTTCAGCCCACAAGAAAGATAAAAAATAACAGTGACTATTTATCTCTTCAAGTTGGGGTGGCTTGGGAATTTAGACAAAGTAAATTGGCAGCAGAGATTTTCTGCCTCCCAGAGTCTGGGGACCCCAGCCTAAGCCCTGGAGCAGGGGCTAGTGTACCTGAAGAACTATTTCTGATCTGCTTGTGTATGATACCTGTGGGGTGCGACCTGCATTGGATCTGTTGCCTTGTGTCCTCAACTCCATCATGGCTTGGCCACTGTATTCTCATGAGAGAAAAACAGAGATGAAGCCTGGCAGAAGATATCTTTTCTTTGCTGATGTGGTTTCAGAAGACAGGTGGCGTCAGGTCTGCTGCCCATTGTTAGATAAGATGGTTAAAAATGTCTGCCTAGATTTAAGGGGAGAAGAAATAAACTCACTTGCAGTGGGAAAAATGTCAGTCATGATGTGGTGACTGAAAGAAATAGAGATATCTATTTCTTAATATCAATATGTAGCTACTATACATATAAGAATTACATTTTTAGGCATATAATATGTGCATATGTTACAAAAATTGCATATATTACAAATCTAGTTTGTGTGTGTGTGTGTTTGTGTGAGATCCTGTGTGAAACACAATCCATCACAGTCATATTTATTTGAAAATACATAATATTCATATAACCGCTATAGTAGATGTTGTCTTCCAGTATCATTTCCTGTGTGTTCCTCTGCCTACTTCTTAGAGAAAGACAAGTGCTGTACAATCCCACTGCAGTGTGGAATACTAAAGTTGAACTCCCGGAAATAGGGTGACATGTTGGTTAGCAGATGTTGACAGGAGAGAGAAAATGGAGACATTTTGATCTAAGTGTATAAACATGAGGTTGTAAGATGAATTCTGAAGATCCAATGTTCAGCACTTGACTATTATTGTTAACAGTACTTGCTTAAAATTTGCTAAGAGAATAGTTTTAAAGTGTTCTTACCATACCCACACCCACCCTAACATGTGACTATGCGAAACAATGAGCATGTCAGTTACTTTGATTGTAGTAATCACTTAGAAACACACGTGCATATCAAAATAGCAAACTATGAACCTTAAATATATAGAATCATACTACAATAAAACTGAGAAAAAAAAAACAGTAGAATTATCAAGAAGCCTGATGTTTCAGTGGAAAAAAATAAAAATATAAAGGAGACGCTTGGGCACAGAGACATTCCACATCATGTGAAGATTGGAGTCCCGCTGCCCTGAGTCCAGAAAGGAGCTATCAGAAAGTCAGAGGCCAGGAACAGATCCTTCTCTAGTCCCTTCCAAGGGAGTACAGTTCTGCCGACACCTTGATCTCAGACTTCCCACCTCCAGACAGGACGACAACACATTTCTTTCTTCACAGAGCTCTCTGGTTTGTGGTACATTGTTATAATAGCCCCAGGAAACTAATACAAATGTGACACCTGGGACACCCTGGCAGCCTGGCTTTTCCTAGGCGGGAAAAGCTTTACAAAGACAAAGCAGAAGCCAATGCTAATGGATAAGCAGCTCCAGAGTGGGAGGGATTGTCTGAGCACAGGCCAGGGCCCAGTTCTTAGGGCCACGTATTGCCCTGACTTTCAAGCATTCCATTAGTTTTACCAAAAAAATATCTTTTTCTCAGTTACTAAAGGAATTCAGTTCAGATTTCTGTCATTTGCAAGTCAAACAGTCCTAATATTCCCATTTTGCATTTTTCAATTATTTTGATAAATATGACTTGTATTATTTGAGAAGCTGATGTTATTCTAAAGCAGTTTTCACCTTCAGATAGGAGAGAGGACTCCATTTTCAAGCATGGATACGCGTGCTACACATGTCACAAGGATCCCACAGGGGGATTGCTGGTGCAGTGTCACAAGACAAATATTTCTATCATTGCTCTCTATGAGGGTCTAAAGAGGTTGGAAGGGATCAAACTGGTAAGACAGCACAACGTCACTTCATTCCGCTCCTCCACTGGTTCTTCCTTTTTCCTTTTTTAAAATAAAACTTCTCATGTATATCAATGAGTGATTGAATGTGTGTGTGTGTGTGTATGTGTGTGTGTGTGTGTGTGTGTGTGTTGGATACCAATACAGTAATGACCAGCTTCTGGGCTAAGCACCAATGATGTTGTTATACAAATTAGAATATGGTTTTACTCTTATAAATCTTGGCCATAAAAAAGAAATAACAAAAAATATTTATCAGTTTGGAAACATGAAATGTATATAAATGAGCTAGTTTATTAATAAACACACACATATAAAATTAAAAGTAAATATGGTACAGCTTGTATAGTCTTGAAGGTAGGGGTTATTAGTATAATTACTTTTCCTTTTTACATGCCATATTATAGTCAAAAAGTAGAGAAATTGTGTAAATTGTAAATTTGATTTTGATGAAAAGGCATCAAATATGTGGATTCATTTAGTTATAGCTTTACAACATTGATATATATATATTATATAGCTATAATGTTTCTATATAGTTTATAAAAATTTATCCCATTGGATTCTCTTTCTATATATATTTTGCTGAGAATTTTGAATTTTCTAGTTAGATTAACAGTAGAGCTATGCCATATTCTTGTTCATTCATTTGACATAGTTTTGTTGAGCAGTTATTTAGTACCAGGCTGGGTTGTCAGACTGAGAGCAAAATGGGAAGCAGCACATATAAATATCCCTTCCCTATGGTGCATAGTCCTAGTGGGAAGAAATACAACATAAAGAAACCAAATGTTGATAAAGGAAACAGAGCAAAGAAAGGCAGAAAGATGTAGTTTTTACAAATAATGACGTTTTGCTTTTTCTTTAATTTCTCCGTTTATTTTTCCTCTCATCAAATTTCACTGTCTAATATGTTCTAAATCATGCCCAATATTACTTGTAATAACAGGAATGATCACTTTTATTGACTGTAATGAAGCATGACGTTACCTCCTGGTTTGGGGCGCATTCCTTCAAAATTTTAGAATGGGATATTTTTACATTTCTACCCTTGTTTTGATGAGAATATTTATTTTTATAATAATGTGTGCTTATTCAGGTACCATCATACTTTAATTGCATGCTGAGAAAAGCATGAGTTGATGGCTTGCTCTTCAGGAGTGTGAAAAGTTAATAGTCTGTGTTGTCTCTGCCATAACATTCAGCAACTTCGTGGCATGTCCTTAAGGATTCGGGTACTCACAAAGCACTGCTTAGAAGCTGTAGATTTCTTTTTTATTTCATTAGAAAATCACCTACCAAGCATTTTAACAGAAGGGGTGTGGAGAGAAAAGCAATAGTACATATGTATCTTGTATGAAAATGAGATTGAACTGAATTCAAAGAGCATTAATCACTTTGACTAATACTCATTGGATCTCTACTACATTCCAGCTTGTGTCTGGTCTAGGTATGCACTGTATATCAGTCAACAGAGAAAAGCCAAGTCCTAGACTTGCCCCACTGAGGTAAGGGGAGACAAATAATAGTTTAAATTTGACTGAAATGGAAATACTTCGTTCTAATGTGATATAACCTATGTAACCTCTTTTGAATATGTAACAACATATTAATTTGCTTATTTAGAACCATCCAAAATGGGTTATACTGTGCTTCATAATCTTGATCTTCTACACTGAACTTTCCTGGGCATATTTTCTGATTATATTCTCATCCTATAGAATATAAACTACAGCTGTGTTAAACTCCTACTAATTAGATGTTGTAAACATAATTTCATATGGGGAAGATGAATTTCTCAATTAATATTTTGAATTCTGTAATTTATTTGACTCTGGAGAAACAACAAGAAAGTTCCTAGCATTGCTGACACTCTACACTGAAGCTTGGGACAAAGGTTCATGTTCACTTCTGACTTAAGAGTCACAAATTTTTACTCCAATTACTTTGTTATTTGAATATTTTCTTAGCTTCAGCAACAGATGATGTATTTATTAGTCACATTAAATTTTCTTTTTCTTAAACTTTGAAATGTTTTCCACATTTTTTTCTTTGAAAGTAAATCAATTCTAGTTGTAGACAAATGTATTATAGATGAACAACACCCATTTATTACAAGGATGTAACTTCAACCTTGAATTGAAACTCTCCTGTTAAATATGTATTTTTCTCATGGAACTTTATGCATGTTACTACATTTTACAATATTTCTATCTCCTTCTACTATGTCCTTGCCAGTATTATGGTGTCAAATACGTACTTTATTAAATTTTGCATTGTAGATTTGAGAGTTGAATTTTTCTAATGATAAATACTGTGGTTGGCATGCAATTCTTTGGGGTTTTCTTGTTGTTGTTGTTAGCGATTAGAAATTCAGTTTCCCTTTCTGTAAAATGGAAGATTATAGGTGGTGTTACATATTTTGTATATTATTTTTTTATTTCCTGAAAAAGAAACCATGAACTTTACTTAAAGTGTTGTGTACATCACTTCTGCATACATTATAGCACCCTTGATAGCCTATTTACATATTATTGACTGTTGGCTAGAATTTCAGAGAAGTGACTCCCTGTTACATTAAACTTCCACCTCAGTCAGGGAACACTGTGTCCTTGCAGTTTCTCTGAAAGAAGTGGTTCTTCTTAGCAAAGGGACTTGAAGAAGGACAGAAGGTTGGGTAGGTGGATTGAGGAGAATGGGTAAAGAAGAAAGAATGTAACAGAGGACATTATATTTTTTACTTAGATAGCTATTTCCTTTCTTCATTTTCATTGTCTATATTTCTCCAGTAAGTGATATTTTATGCTTTTCAAGTAACATGACTTTCTGAAAGTAGTTTCCTTAATTCATGCACTTCGGTGCAGAGCACTGATGACTTCTTTCCTGATTATAGTATGATGCACTTGCCAGGTTTGTTGTACAGATTTTTCAAACATTGATGGTTAGGTAGATGCTTAGTGTGTGTACGGCTCACCTTTGGTCTTACCACTTGGGGAACTGCCCTTGGCCCATCCACCTTGGGTCAAAGAAGTCATCGCGTTTGTTCACATCCCAGAGGCAAATACAGCTCTGCGGTTAAAGTTTTCAGCCCACTGGTTCTACTCTTTTGAACAGAGAAGACATACACCTGGGTCACTTGAGCACCCCTGTTCCATTGCTGGGTGGCTTATGGCAAATGTTCACAAAGACAGGCTGAGAAGGCCGGTCCAGAAACCTACTTTCAGTCAGTTTTGAGTCTCAGCTATGTCCTTCCTTTGTTTCCTTTGGATTATTTTCCTTTCAGTAAAATCCATATTTTTCCTTAAGTTTCTTTTCTGTTTTGTATGTGTCCAAACCATGTTTCATCGTGTTTTGGTGGAGAAATCTCCAATTGTCCATATTACCATTCAAACAGAACATATTTAAGTATCATTCATAATGACATGTTCTTTATTATCTTTATAATCCAGTCCCTGAAATAGGAATAGAATTCTTTTGACAAGTTATACATACAATATAATGATTTTACAATTCACGATTATTTGGCTAATTCAAAATATGCCCATGTTCACCCCTCCCATCAGATAATTCTTTAGGCATTAAAATAAACTGGGAAATAGCAGAGGGAATAGAAACAAGATATTATAATATTAATAACCTAGTTTAGAGCAAGCATGATACGATTATTTTGATAGTAACAAATATTTACCTCTCCTCAGAATTGTTCTTCTTGACAGTCTCCAGATTTTTCTGTATGCTGGAAAACCATGAGATGGTAAGGTCTGGCTTTACTGATGTGCTAAAGTTACAGATAACATGATGATGAATAACTGGAGGTATTTAACTAGATAATGCACCCCTCTCTGTTTCCCAAGCTGATGGGTGTCTGCAATTTCTGGTTCTGAGTCTAATTACTTTAGAGTTCATATAATGAGCTAGATTGCAACATGAATTCAGCAAATTCTTACAGTTCCCTGGAGAGGTCTTTGACAAAGCCTCAGTAATAGAGAGATTGACTCATTTTCCACTGTGCAGGCTGAATGTGATATTATGAAAACTGATGTGCAGCCAGCATATCACGAAGGCCTGAATCATAATTTTTTTCTTTAAAAGATGCTTTTTAAAGATTCTCTGTCTCTTTTGCAACCTCCTCACTTACCTCCCCTAGATCTTTCTAGTAACTGACAATGCTGTAGTCTAAAGATCCCTTAGCTACCACTGGACGCTGCATTTAGTCTTGTTCTGCCCTTCTCCTATGTGACTGACATCAGCCACCGAGCCTGTTTCCTGATTTAGAAGCTGAGGATAAAATACTCATCTCACGGAACTGTTGTGAGGATTAAGTGAAAAATAGCTGGTATGAAATTCTCTGTAGAGTTGGGGGATGATTTCTGATAATGCTTTGGTTTTCACAACAGGTAATTATAAATAAATCGATTGTGAATGGGAAAGAACATGAAATCTGGGTAAATCAGCAGAGGTTGAATCTTGCCTGTATCACTTACTGTTCTACACTCTGTGTTTATTTGACCGTGTTCCGCTGTAGAATATTAATATCTGCAGAGCAGAGACAAAAAAAAGTTGCTTCCATTTCATCAGAGTATCTGACCTACAGGAGATACTAATGCATTTTTGTTGAAAGCATACGTGGAATAATGAAGTTACATTAGCTGTTGATAATCTTTGTGCAAATGAGAGCAACTCTGATCTCCATCCTCCCTTTCACATGCACTTTTCTTCAGAGGACAGCTTTCCATTATTTGGGTAAAAATAAGCAGTATTTGAGTGTTCCTCTCCCTGTGGCATTTCCCCTTAGTGCACACCAGGAACCTGTGGTCATCTCCAGTGTTCCAAGCATCGCTGTGTGCGGACCACTTGCTAGTGGACAACTACAGCCTCTGACAAGAGGATTGTGGCTTACAGATCCCTCATCTTCAGAGGAAAGTGGCAAGGGAGTCGAGAAGAATGTGTCTCATTTCTTCCTCACATCTGGCTTCCTTATATTAAACTCATAGCTGAAGACTGAAAAGTTACAGTTCTTGACAATGTCTCCTTTCTAAAACGTCCCAATGGGAAAGTACAGAAAGATAAGAGGACCCCTGTGAACATGATTAA